GTGAACTAAAAGAGCGCAATTTGCGAAACAAACGACAAAACTAAAAAAGTAAAAAAACAAGACAAACATGAAGGGCACAGTGAAACCATTCATTTTTCTCATTCTTCTTTTGACTCCCCTTTCACCGTGCCTCTAACGTACACGGCTCGCCACGTTGATGAAGTTGAGCGCGAGCTGCCCCCATCCCCGTGTGCCACAACAGCCCACTTGTACGCTGTGAGAAAGAGGCATATCGGCAAACAGAGCTGCCAGGTAAACCGTAGGCAGAGAGGGAGAAGAGGACAACAAATGAGGGGCTGTGACAAAGTGTTTCGCCGGAGTTTCACCGACTCATCAGAAGGCTTATATATATATTATATATATAGTCATATATATATATATTATATACATATATCATACTTGCGGCGCATTGAGGTGCACGCCTCAGCGCACCTTGCGCACCGCAACCGATGCGGCGCAAAAAAAAAAGGGGGGTCCGCCCCCCCCCCCAGAAGAAGTGCAAGGGTTCATGGAACACCCTGCCCTAAGGAGGGGAAAACTCAAATGGGCAGCGATAGCGAAATGAGAGAAATCCAGAATGCAAAATCACATTGAAAGCCAGCCAGTCCAACGCTGTCCAGAATGCAGAAATTCACTGATATTGCACCAATGGAGAACCAAAGCACCGAATCTGAATGTCAATTAGAGCATACTGTCGCCACCACCAACATATGTATCGAGAGTCCTTCCTCCTACTTGGCGCCCAGTGCTCAGACTACTACTACACAGCTACTAGCAGCCTACAAATTGACAATGCATCCCGTTGACATCAGCAGCAACAACCGAAATGCATGAAGATGTCGACCTTGTAGACCATCGCCAAGACCAGGTACGTGCCCTCACATCATCAAGCTCATTTCTCTCTCTCTCTCTCTCACCCTCGATTTCTACTCTCATGTCTTCTCCCTCATGCACGAAGACCACCACCACCTTCCGCTGATTGTCCAAGCCGAGCCCGGCTACGGTCGGGCTGGCTATGGCGCTGCCCTCTCTTTCGACGCCCGTGCGCGTCTGCACCTCAGCACTAGCGCAGCAGCCACAGAGCACTTGCTCCAGCAGCACTACCGCATCTACACGCGAGTGCCCGAATGTCGAGCCCGGAGCCCAGCCCTTTCCTAAACGGAAAGTGGCGGGCTCTTTCCGCTTGCTTCCCACATGAGACCGAGTTTCCAGTAGCTTCAGTCTCGGCCAAAGTGTCTCCGCCCAAGCCCGTTCAGACAGTGGCCTGGGACCAAATTGGTTAGGCATGTCCGAACACCCAGGCATAAATGATCAGTGCTCCCTGCTTCGACCACGTTGCTGGAAGAGCCTGGAAGGCTCACCAATATTTTGGATTCTCACGAGCAAGGCGGATGTACCCAACTGGCGCGTGGCAACTATCTGGCACCCACCAAGAGTTGCAAAAATTGACGAACTCGGGGCACATTGAGATTCAGGGTGGCCGCCTTCACTTAGGGTGCGCACGCTCCTGCTGCAAGGCCTTAGCCGAGGGGTAAAAGAAGGAAAAATTTTCACGATGGAGTTTTATGATTTTATCAACTTTTATGTGGAAAAACAAAAAAAAACAAAAGGAAAAAAACAAAAAAAACAAAAGCAAGAGAGAGCGGCTCTTTTATTGGAGAATCTGACACCCACACAGAATCTGACAGCTGAACACAACACACCATCATCATTATTAGAGAGAGAGAGAGAGAGAGAGAGAGAGAGAGAGAGAGAGAGAGAGAGAGAGAGAGAGAGAGAGAGAGAGAGAGAGAGAGAGAGAACGGCCACTATACATCTCATAGGCACCCTTACCATTACCGTATCTGACCCAAATCGTCCTCTGCATAAACTCCAATGTATGCAGGTGACGATTTGGGTAAGATACAGTCATGATGAGGGTGCCTACAACGGTTACTGTTCGTGGATTGCTCATTGTCTTTCTCTCTCTCTCTCTCTCTCTCTCTCTCTCTCTCTCTCTCTCTCTCTCTCTCTCTCACACACACACACACACACACACACACACAAGCACGCATGGCTTTTTTTTTCTTTTTTTTTTCCCCCACACGTGCACGTGCACCTCTCTCTCGCGCATGGCGCACAGCGCCCCACGCCGCACTGTGCACCGTAGTAGTGCACAGCAACTATGAGAAGATTGTGGTATGTAAAACCACACGATTAAGTTTTTTTAACTTTTTCACAGTTTTGTTTTGTGAGATGTTGCCTTCAACGATGTTGTCCGATTCAGAGAGGCACACATTTTGCTCTGCTGTGCCGTGTTTTTTTTCTTTTAACCCACACACACAGGTGCCCCTCCTATTCTAGGGTGTGACAGTCCGGTTACTTGTCAACGGCAAGCAACCAACAAATGAATCTTGAAATGTCCACAACGACCGCTTGTATCCGGCAGACTCCCAATGGTACCCTGTCATCATGGACAAAACATCGAATTCACAAATCCCTGAGTACGTTTTCCCAGCAATGATCGCTTGTAACTGAGAATCTTCCCCAAGTCCCCAGCCGCTACAGGCATCTAGATTACCGGTGATGCATGGACCCCCCCCCAAATCCCTTTATGCCTGTTTGGAGGAAGGGCTATTGAGAGTCTGTTCAAGTGATGGCCGTTGTAGACCAGAGAGACTTTGTCCGCATGAGAGGTGGGGCTATTTTTATTTGTTGTCCCTGTTCAGGAGGTCGCCTTGCACACAGCTGTTCTTTGCCGCATGTACAGGTTCCGGACCTGGTCCACAGCTCTGGGAATGAATGACTTGGGAGGAGCTCCGCACAGTTCCTGGCTGGTCCAGATCAAAACTTGAGGCCATGAAGTTCCCTGGAGCAGGACCTCAGCCTTCAGTCTACACTGGTACAATGATTAGATCTGTATGGCTCAGAATAGATAGCATTGCGAGTAAAGGGTGGCCCAGTCCTACAAATAGAGAGCTGAACAAGGCTGTGACGGTTCACCCCATGCTAGCACTGCTTTCTGTTCAGAGTTTAGCCAAGGGCTCACACAACACTCAAACAGGGTGTGGCAAGGAATTTTGGAATTTTGGTGAGGTCCCAGGGCAGAACTGAGACCTTCTCATCGATTCCCACTGCTGAACTTTGAAGAAGAACGGCGTAATGAGTCCCAGGGCAGAACTGAGACCTTCTCATCGATTCCCACTGCAAAACTTTGAAGAAGAACGGCGTAACGAGTCCACCCCCCAAAGCTCACATCAACATCACTATGCAAAGTATTTGCAATGCTCAATGAATGCCGTTCTCTCCATCACACACACACACACACACACACACACACACAATCAGTTCTATGTATGTTAGTCTTTTCTCCAGTTGTCTGTCCTCTTGAGTTTTTTTTCTAAGTAGTTTTCTATCCCCTGCTGAGCACCCTTAAGTAGTGCCAAACAGTCGGTGGTTCCTGGTTTGGAGTGCCAACTGCACTCTTAGGGGGGCCGCTCGATTCGGGATGTCTGTGTTGCCTGTAGGTGATGACAGATGCTCGTCGGAGTGTCTCCCTGGATGACGGATGCTCGTGGGTGGTGGGAACCAACAGTCTGTGGGGTTAACTCGTGATGTGAGTAGGTCATGTGCTGCTTTGCTCCGTGTTGGATGTGTGGACGTCCTCGTCTGCGCTCCGCCGCTGCCCTGCTGCTTGTCCCGCTTGCCTCGCATGTGGTTCTTTGCAGGTTGATGTGTTCGCTGTGCGGTGTGGCTGTGTTGTTGGTGTTGCCTTGTGCTTCGCTGCTCCGCTGCTGTGCTGCTCATCTGCTGGCCGTGCCTTTCGTATTTGTTGTGCAGCCGTGTTGTCTCTACTGTGTTGCCTGGTGCTCCACAGGGTTGTTGTCCGCTGCTATGTTCCCCTTAGGGGCAGTCTGCCTTCAACAAGGGTCAAAGGGTTCATGACCCAAACCATAAAAAACGGAGACTCCACAGATTGTCGAGGGTTCAGCCTCCTGATGAGTCGGTGCAATTCCGACGAAACAATCTTGTCATCATCTGATTTTGTTTTATTATTATTTTTTTCAGTTGTTGTCTGTTTTATACTTGGATTTTTTTTGGGTGCTGTTTTTGCATGGTCGTTGATTGGCTGGCTGCTGTTTCCCTTGCTGCTTTATGCTGTTTGCTTGCCCATTCACCCACCCCGTGCCTTTCACCCAGTGTGCTTTGTTGTTTGTGCTGTTTGCCTTGTGTCGTTTGTTTGCCCACCCACCTCCCCCGTGCCCTCCATCCTGTGTCCCTTGTTGTGGCTTGTCATTCTATGCCTTGCTGGTTGTCTTGTATGCGCTTGATCTTTCGGGCTTGGGATTGTATGTTTTTTCTGTCTTCCATATGCCTAGTGGACTTGAAGTGCTACTTTAAGGGTTGTCTTTCCTCTTGAAGTCTATTGTATAGGATGAACAATGTGATGGGGTCCTTCTGGAGGTTATCCTGTGATGTGACAATGATATGGAGTACATATGCGTTATGTACTGAGGAGCCCTCAATATGTGTTCACACACATCCACACACACACACACACACACACAC